TTCCGCTTGCTCTAGTTTGTCTACTAGTTTTCGAAAATCGGGCTCTCGAATTGAGGAAGGATGGGATGCTCTCTTTTTTATTGCTATTTTCCTTAATTGGGGTGTTAAGGTCATCATTAAAATTTCTGTCATTTTTGTGTTTTTTTAGTCATGTGTATTTAATGAATATGCTTTTCGAAATAGTGTTTCGATACGTACTGCTAATTGTTTGATGGTTTCATTTGGTAATCTGCGAATTTCAATACATAAAACTCTTTGGTGTTGTTTATTTCTTTCGGAATCAAACATTTTTGAAAATTCTTGTGTAAATCTTTTCCAATTTGATTTTATTTCTATTGGCAATACTGAAAACCATTTTTGGGCTGCGCCATCTAAGGTTGTTTGTATCAACGCTGTGCGTCGATGTATCCAATTTTGATGTAGTGGTGTATTAATTGGTTCAGGTCCTATATTTAAAATTAAATTTGCTGTTACTGCATTTAAATAATCTTCTACAGAATATTCTGTGAATACCATTAATGGTTTGTTTGATGTTATTGATGATCCACCCATAAGGTATGGATTCATTGTCATTTGTAGTGATTCTGCGGCATTTGGCATTTGTGAAAAATTTGAAAGTTGATTTTTTGTTATTTCGTGTTGTTGAAGGTAATATGGGAGTGGTATTTCACTTTGCATTTGAGTTGGTTGATACGAGTGTGTGATCATTGGGTTTTGTGGCTGAATTGGTTGAAAAGATTGTGTATTAGTTGGGTTTTGCATTTGTATTGGTTGTTGATTTTGTGTATCTGTTGGATGTGAGAAAAAATTCTATGATATGTATATGGTTTTTGCACTCCTTGTCCGCGATATTCTTGAGTATATGGTGCAAAAATATCTGGTTGTAAATAATCATCATCAGATGATAAGTAATCCGTATGATGAGGTGCTTTTTTATTTTTATTTTGTTGAAAGAATGGGTAATTTTCACTACGATCCTGTGGAGGATGTGAATTAGTTTGAAAATTTACTGAGTTGGTTGTTGTCATTGGGTTATCCCAATATCGAGATCTTACTTGATTATTATTTTTTTTTTCGTGGGGGATAGTTTGTTTTTGATGAATGTGCGTAATTATAATTGTGTTCTGCAAAAGAGTTTCTTGTGAACGTTCTTCGTGTTTTTGACGGTACTGTCATAGGTCTATATGTTTGATAATCCATTTGTGAATATTGTGGAGCAACCGAGGGTTTAACGGTTGATTGTAAGGTTATGTGTGCTAGTAAAGAGTGTGTATTTTTTGGTGTAGTTAAATTTGGACGTATTGGTGAAATGCTTTGTTGTGTAGTTGTTGTTGTTTGGACGATTTCTTCATTTATAAAGTGTGATGGTGTTTGAATATCTTGATGTGTAAGATTCCTAGTTCCATTAAGGTTTTCATTGTGTATGACGGTTGAATTTAAACTGTTGTTTCGCGTATCAGGTAAAAATGGTGTTGCATCAATGGTTAATGGTACTACTCTTACATAATCTCTTTGATAAGATATTGTGCTTTTTGCTTGACTTGAGATTGATTGTGGGATGTTTATAAATGCATGATGAGACCATTCGGGGTCCCAAACGTAGTCTGACTGTTCTGTGATGGCAGTATCATCGTTTGAATTTTGAGGTCTGAAATTTTTTCTTGCTTGTGAAATTAAATCTATATTATGTGTGAAATAATCTATTGTAAACCATGCCAAAATTTTTTGTATGTCATATTTTGTATGTTGTGAAACTTCGTCTTTTGTGAAATTTTCTTTAATTATATGTAGGAAAGTTGAAAATAGTCTGATTTCATGTCGTACCTTTATATGTTTGGATGTCTCAATTGGTGAGATATTTGGAATTTCTGTTTTTTCTAATATTGAAATATAACTATATATTATTGCAAAAACTTCGTTAGTAAATATGGAGTTTGCTCTTTGTGAGTTATGATATTGTATGCTTTTAATATATTCTAAGATTACTTTTGAAAATTCTAAGTCAAGATCGTCTAAGTCAAGATCGTCAAGATATTTGCGGTGATTCGGATTTGGTGTGCTGAATTCTATGGTGTAGATTCCGTATTGTTGTGTTAAATTACATATATCTTTCAGATAATGTTCTATAATTTGTCTTTTGATTTTTACATCTGGGAATTCTGTTTTGCATGGGCTGATTCCGGGTTCAAACAAATTTAGGAGTAAATTTTTGCAAAAGTCATGCTGCCCTCTATTATCGGGTGCATCTACGAGGAAGGGGTAAATGTCGTCGTCATCTGGACTATCGTCACTTTGAGTGTGTTTGTGGCTCATTTTTTTGTTTAATGACTGTTAATAGATAACTATCGATGTGTCTAATTGGTTGATTCCAATTATACAAGTGTACTGGTTTGTGTTTATATTGCTTTTTTATTCTTCTTTTTCCTCTTTTTGATGAATTTGAAGTTGTTTCTGAGTCGGAAAAATATAGTTGATCGTGAATGGGATAATTTTTATCAATTGATTCTTTTAATTCATAGAGTTCATCTAAATTGCTGGCTTCTGACTGATTCTGAAAATGCGTTTCTATTTTTGAAAATCTTTTTCGTGTGATTTGTCTTTGTTTGTTTATTATTTTTCTTTTTATTGTTAGTCGTTTTGTTCTAATATATCCAACTGTTTGTGTATGAGGTGTTATTACAAGATCGTAATTTTTGTTATCTATTTCACAGTTGTGTAAAACGATTGTTTGTTTATTTCCTAGATTTTTGAATGACATAAGTTTTAGGATGAGGGATACAAAAAGTTGTAGATGATGTCTACTTTCTTAAACTGTTAGTCCTTACGATTTTTTGGTTAGCTTAACCTGGGTCTATTTGTTCAGGGTTGGAGAGAAAAGTATATCGATTCCGAAGAATGATTTTTTACTTTCTCGTGGCTAGTATAAGCTAAGGTGTTAACTTACTTAATCTTACTTAGGGGTAGTGATTGTGTTCAAGGGTTGGAGAATAGTAAATCGATCCACAAGGTTCAGGTATAATTAGAACGCGAGTAGTTCGTTAGATACTATTTTAAACTTACTAAGTCTAAGATTTATCCTGGGTCTGGTAAGAGGAGGGTTCAAGTGAAGGATGAATAACCGAAGTTCTTCACTGTTTATCCTAATTTGAATGGTTAGTTTTGTTGAAAAATTTCTATTAGTCTTGGGTTTTTTGGAAGGGTTGGATAGTGCATCGACGTTTGAGGTCGTTAGACACTTGCTAAGTGGGTGGGGGAGAACAAAATTGTTCTTTTTGATCCAAGGATTGGCCTTGATGATCAAGTTTTAAATTTAGTGAAAAAGAAAATTAATTAAGATCCAAGGATAAGCCTTGATGATCTGATTTTAAAATTAAGTGAATTTAAGTTTAAAATGGTTTAAATTTGTTTAAGAAAAAGATTTAGTTTTTTAATGATATTAGTGAGCTTATGATTGTTGTTATGTTTAGGTGATGAAGCTGGGACAACGGATGATTTTATGATTACTAACAATTTATTGTCATGCTACTAATTTTTGTTTTGATTTTCAATAAATATTTTCCAAACATGTTTTATATAATACTGCAGAATTTAGGAAAACGATCTGAGATCTTTTTATCAATCGTTATTGTCAATTAATAATTTTGTTTAGCGCCTGAAATGATCATGAAGATTGACTTCAAGATTTTATGTTTGCAAATGAAAATCTAAATTCATTGCTAATAAAATTCTAAATATAAAAGTTTATGTTGGCTTTTGCCGTACTATCATATAACTATATGGTAAGTTTCTACTTTGTCGTATGTCGTCTCTGGTTCGAGGTCTTCTTACGATTCCGGGTAGTTCTGTTATCGTTCGGAATATTGGCTCTGATCTATTGAGTCGTAGAGACATTTCGATTAAATTATCGTCGTATAACATTTTGAAAATGTTTTGTCTAAATTCTAATCTATTTTTGGTTAATTCTAAGCTATTAAGGTCTTGTTCGAGACTTATGGTCGCACCAGATGAGTTAGGACCGATGTGGTTAACTCATAGAGTAATTTCGGATAGGGTACACCGTCTGCTCGTCACGCTATCTTATTTTCGGCCGGATAGATTCGTGCAACTTGTTAGTCTAATACCGATCCTAATCTTACTCTTATACTATCTAGTCTCAGGTTGTTTAACTAGTCTCTGCTAGGCTCAATAGATCTAGGGTAAACTGGTTTATTGCGGCTGCTGAAGTTCTCTTGGAGAGGCAACTAATTTCTAAGTTAAATTCACATCTCTCTGGTGCTGAAATTACAAGTAATTTCAGCACTTACAAATAAGTGGGTTGTTAGTTAGATGGATCATGATTGGTTAATATTAAATACTTTACAGTGATAAAATATCTAATTTACCCAATCATAAAATATAGTTTAGATCAGGTTCCAAAAAGTACAGATGGCTCTTCTGGTTTTTCATGTAGCCTAAAAATATCCCATCTTATAAAATTCTTAGAAACAAAGTTTGTAAGAAATTGCAAGATTTTTATGAGAAAAAGTCTAAGATAGCGACTTTTGGTCCAAACCGACTTCAAGTATCGGTTTGGGGATTTCAATATCAGAAAGAGCGTGAACAAATTGAAATGAAAAATCGGAAACTAGAAAGAACGGTACAAAATTATCAGCTGTTTTCGAAGTATTAAAGCCCACAATCATTCGGAGCCGTCTTTTTTTCTTGAGGCGAATTATCTTTGCAGGAAATGGCCTTATATGAGCTGCTCAGCTCTTTACCGAGAGCTTCTATCTGATACCACAATTCAGGGGATTTAGCACACTAAATAACTGTTTTAGTGTTTTTGGTTGAGCTCAGAAAATCGACTTGGCTGACTGAAAAAAACGTAGCTTGTTTTTTGAATTTATACTCGCAAAATTTTTACAACCCCACCCCAATAATAAAAACTGGGATGATAGTTCAATGGCATAATAAAGTATATAATTTCTACAAGTTCACAACTGGTGAGATTTAGTTTTTAGGGCCCTGATGAAACATCTGTGGGGTTTCGTGGGCAAATGCAGACAGCTGTTGGGGAGGAGGGCCAGCTGGGCAGTGTGGAGGGGGAGGGAGTTCACATTCTCCTATTCCATCTCATTCGAGAACAGACAGTATCTGGACAAAGTGGGGTCAGATAAGGTCAAATTAAAATACACAATTTGCTTCATTCCCCCCTCTCACCCAACCCCACCTGGTTGCACCCCTATTTCATAGTGTAAGTAAGTTTTTGAACACTGATATCAAATCAGTGTTCAAAAACTGATATCAAATCAGTGTTCAAAAACTGATATCAAATCAGTGTTCAAAAACTTACATTGATATCAGTGTAAGTTTTTGAACACTGATACCAAGGTTCTGTTGCAATATTATAATTTATAAATCAAGAAAAGACAAAATGTTGTCAAAGTGGGGTCAGAAAGGGTCAAAATCGGGACTGAAAATAATCTCCCCTTGAATCATTTTAGGGAAGAGATCGTTCACTTGACTGAGTTCAAATCTGTATCATTCCATCAAAACTCTGCTTAAACATGTCGTACACTTCTTTAAGTTCGTTGGTGATCGTTGAAAAAAATTAATCAGAGCTTAACTTACTTTGCAAGACTGTGGATAATTATATATTCTTGCAAACTGCACGAAGAGTTAACTGCCTGGGAGACCACTATTGCACCTACATGTCCATTTTCAAGTGTCTCAGAGCGAAATTTATTGATTGAAAAATTTTGATACAACCAAAGAGGTCATGTCTCAAAATAAAAACTCGAATTTTTGAAATTTTCTGAAAATAAATTTTCTCTGATAATTGAAAAAAAAAATGCTTCCAAAAAAGAAAAGTTGAAACCTTATAAAATTCTTTGTGAAAAAAAACTTAATTTTTTTACATTGCGAGTTACTTAACGCAGTTTATCTGTGTGATAATTGCAACTTATATTCAAATTGTTTTGAAGTTACGTGCACTTTATGTAACAATTCTCTCAAACCAGTCAAATATGATGTGAAAACTTGATTTTTTATAAAATTTAAATTCTCAAATTTTTTGGGTTATGTTCGTAACCCAACGCATGTGGCAGAGAGCATATTACTCAAAAGTAGATTAAACAAATGTCTGATCATATTGCAATTACAATGCATCGGAAATAGCCTGAATTTGTTTATCTCAAATAAATGATAAAATGAAAGGATCAAACTTTTATATTTTCGCAAAAATTTTCAAAGGTGTTTTTTTTTGTTTTGAATTTTTAATCAATCATGCATTGATCAAGACATACAAAAACATGTCATACAAAGGTAAAAGGGCGCGTTTTTACAAGTTTTACCGAGAAAAAGGAAAAAAAACAACTTTTGTGTAATCCAGGACTACGTTATGCGCACAAGAAACTACTTTTTGCATGCAAAAATTTTTTTATAAGAAATGTTTATTTGAGTACTAACTTCGTTTTCTCTGATTGAAAAAAAAATGAGATAATTTTGAATTTACTGAGAGAAAAGCTTGCTGTCGTCATCAAAAAAATGTTGACTGTAGATTTTCCATGAATGAATGTTTTTTTATTAATGTCGATAAATCGAAATTTATGCCAAAACAAGGGAGTTTCTTTGAAAATTCGATGAAATCATTTTGGCAAAATGTATGAAATTGACATGATTAGTGATTGTTCATAGACTCAGTTTATGGAATTGAAGGATTAGCATTTTCGTTCTATGGAGGTTAACCCAGGTATAGTTTTGTTTTGGTCACACTGTAAAGAGTTCCTTTATCAGGTTCTAGTTAGACAACTGAAGAACGTTAGTTAAGAATGAGGTGTGTTTAAAAGCTACCAACTAATCTAATTATTCAATGTTAGGGTTAAAACGAAGTTAAAAGAAAAATTGATTTATCGGACAGTCTGATCAGTATGTTTTAGCTAATCGAAAGATCAATGGTGTCCTATATCGCTTTTGGACGGGTACTAATTAAAACATAAAGATAATAATAGGACTTCATTTTTAGAGTTCTGTATCAGCACTGCAGGACAGCAATATAAGACTGATGATATTTCACACACACACACACACACACACACACACACACACACACACACACACACACACACTCACACACAAACACACATACACACATACACACACACACCACACACACACATACACACACATCACCATTAGGCCAGAGACGGAAAGCATTGACTATAATTAAATGTCATTGGACTATAGTTGCCACTTATCTCTTTTGAGTCGCGAAAATCACGATCTAAACTATTTCGAGTGTCTCATTATTCGTCGTACCTTGTCATGGTTGCGGATTTTGTTTTAAAATTAATTTGTATATTCCAGACAGTGACGGAGGATCAAATGGACAACATTTTGGACAGCAGGCCTGTTGGATTTCTCTCTTTCAACACCTACCACCAACTGAAACACTCCCTGTTTCCGGCAAAAAGACCTGGATTCGACAACATAGTCGCCACCGAGACATTCTGCATACATTTGCATGAATTACCCACTGGCTTTGCACTTCGACAGAACAGGCGGATATCGGATAATGTATGGGATGCGTGTTATAGGAAAGGAATTTCTTTAGCATAATTGGAAATAGAAAAAAACAGCGACATTGAATTAATGTAGTTGTCAATTTTTGAGTTTATAATTTTTGTGAACTTATGTAAAGTTATAGTCAATACATCATTTAAAAGTCAGAGACTATTACGAGCATATATCATTAATTACTATATTCAAGGGTGGAGGCAAATCCAGGTTTTTTCAAGGGGTGGGGCGGGTTTTCAAAAAGTTTTGTACATTTTTTTTGGTCGACAAAATTTACTTTCCGAGCTCTCCCAAATTAATAAAAAACCTTATTTTGGCCAATTTTTGCAGGCGATTTTTAATAAAAACATGTCAAAAATGACTTGATGCTTTTTTTGGAAGGTTTACCAAAAAATCGCTTTTTTGACCAGCGCTCCCCCCTCAAAAATTGTATATATTGGCGCCTACTGCGCATTTAGAATTTTTAAGTGTCTGACGGCAAAAAAATGGATCCTTTAGGTGGTCAGTGGGTCGAATCCCAGAGGCACGGCGCCCGCACGAACGTCGATATTAAACTCTGATTTGTGCCGTATACGGTAACACGTTGTAGAAAGCTACAATTCCGACCACTCCTGTCCACTGGGAACTCGGTCCATAAGTGTGGCGTTAGTTTTTTTCTGGGCTCTTTTTCCTTTTCCCCCCACCTCACACGAGCTTCAATATATTAGTGTAACGAGTGGTTTTACGAGGTTGAGTATAGTATGAAGACCAAATATGTTTGTCGTGGCCTTATTAGTCTGTATGTAAATTTTCGTAACAATTGGACAATGTGGTCAACAAGTTTACATGTAAAAGTTTGCAGGTGGGGGGAGGGGGGGGGGGGGAAGGAAAAAGAGCCTTTTTCTGTGATTTTTTGTAATTTTTCACTCACTGGTGTAACCGAAGTCTTTCAATAGTTTGCTTCAGTGGATTCAGTGGCGGGTAATAGTTTTTCTTTGGTCTTTAACTGTTCTCCTATGGCGCGCCTGTAGCGTTTAAACTTTCTTTGATCGCGTCGGTCGCAATGATGATTTTTTTCTGGGTTGCGTACGCATCTACTCGGTCTTTTATGTCTGGAAATACCAAAATTTGGTCGCGGCAATCGTCAGGAAACACCCTTCTCAGGTCGCGGCAATGTGTCATCATAGTCTGATGCTTTAACCACATAATAATTGAGTACAAATATTCATACATTTCATCTTTGATTTCCTATACTTTTGGATACTTTTCTTCTAGATTGTTAGAAAAAACCAGTTTGGTCATAATTTCGACAAATTTATAAGCATCAAAAATTTATCTATGATACTCAACAGATAAGCACGAATTTACCGACTCAATATTTTTTTCAAACTATTTTGAAGCAAACTAATTGATCCCATCACCAGCCCAAGTCTAAAAGAATCAAATTCAATGATATATTACTTTATATTGCCTGATCTGTGTCTTAATCCTTCTACATCACAGTAAAATTGTCCAAAAAACTCATCTTGAAGATTTGAAGAACGTTTTTGAACAAAAAATGAAGCGTTAATTTTCCCGTTTTGTGGTAGAAACTAACGGATCTCTCAATTTAAACGACGATAATGTTAAAACAAAGCAACAAAAAAAACTTGATCTTGAACTGTTAAGCCAAAGAAAATTGATAGGTTGTGAAAACTTGACCCAAATGAAAGTGAACAATAGCTGAAATAATTAATAAAAATCAACCAAGTTTATGAACTTTTCTCAGGAAGTATTTAAAACTCATGAGACGAAACGAAAGTATAGTTATCAAACACATACACCCCACATGGGGTTAGATAAAACTCCCCACCCCTTTATATGGGCGTCCACAGACATTTCGTGATGATTTTTGACGATTGAAGTGAGATAGTAAGCCCAGCAAAAAACTCCTCGAAATGCATATCAATATGAAAGCGAAAACCTTTTTTTATATGACTATGGAGCACAAGCTGAAAAAAAATGAACAATCCTATGGTTCCCAGATTTGGTAGAGTAGAATTTTTTTTGCAGAAAAAAAGGAACTAGCACATAGCTAAGAACTGGTATGAGACAGGGTCTTCTAATGGTTTTTGGTAAACAAATCAAGTTAAGCTTCTTAATTTGCCAAAAATACAAAAACGCTGACCCAAAATAGTTAGCACGAAAAAATCACTGTTTTTGCATCAGTAATTGTGCCTTGTCTCGGTCCTTGTCTGAATGAAACAGCTGGCTAGGTGGGCGTCGAGTACGTCATTCTGTATATTTTTTTACTAAATTTTACAGTTTCATTTTCAGATTTTGATTGAAATCAACATAATATATGAATAAAAAGAGCCAAGAGACATTTTCAAGAAAAATTTCATAAAGCAAAATCAGTAGTCCCATCACCAGCCCGAGCTTGAAAAAATTTAAATGTTGTTTTACCAGATAAGGCCAGATAAATGTGCAACCTGCTCCCCATCGACTCGTCAAACCCCCACCAAGCTGAAACGATTGAGTTAAATCATTCTAGGTTATGAAAACTAGCAGAGACATACATCACATATAAGGTCAGACAAACTTCCCACCTCCTATAAGGGCGTACACAGACATTTCAGGATGATTTTTGATAACTGAAGAGAGATAACACGCACAGAAAAAAAAACACTCGAAATGCATTGCTATGTAAAAGTGAAAACCTACTTTGCATGACTAAAGAGCATGTCATCCCACAAACCAAAAAAAATCCAAAAATCATATCGTTCCCAGGTTTGGCAGAGAAGGAAATTTATTGTTTTTTTGGCAGAATAAGAAAACTAAATTACTTGTTTTTTGTTCTTGTCCAGTTGAATACCACCTGTAATTCAGAAATACGGTACAACATCAAGGGAAGCTCAAACTCAAACCTTGACGTGGACATTGATTCTGAATGCCTCTGCCACCCAGACAGAACGAACTAACCGATTACAACAAGCCAACAAATATCTCACAAGAATATCACTTTTTCCTACCAAAGTCTCAACAACGCACACTTTAAAGATTTTTTTTGGCAAACTAAAAATGTTAGCCTTCATAGACCATCACATTTCCATAGACCATCACATTTCCTAGAACGCTGACACAATAAAGTTAGCCCAAAAAATCAATGTTTGTACAATCAGTGTTTCTGCCTTGTCGCGGCCTTGAGATAGATCGTTTTGAGTAGCATGCTGATTGATGACAATCCGGTTTATGCTTAAAGTAACCGAAATCATCGGGAAATACAATTCAACAAAAAATACCGAACTGGCATAAACTTTGGTTTTCAGAAGAAGAATTGAAAATCAAAAAACAAATTTTGAAAATTATGAGGCTCCAGTGTTAGAGCAGCCCCTGAAAAAATTTCTCTGAAATTTGTTTCGAGCATCCAGTTTGATTGTTCTCAATCACTGTTTTTTGATCACCAGAAAAATCAAAATCAAAAACTTGGTTTTCCTCGCTATGATTTCTAGAGAGATCAACCTCGCCAACTAACAGAGCGAGAAAAGGTGAGAGCTAACGGTCAGCTGGGTCAGCTCTCTTGTCTGAGAACTGCACTTTTCTCGTTCGGTGGACCATATTTCCGCCTCGTCTCGGTCAAGAGCTAGGTCTGTTTTGGGTAGCTTGTTGATTTTCAGCATTTCGGATTATACGCAAACTAACCGTAATTATTGGAAAAACAAGTCATCAAAGAAAAACGAACTGCAAATTGTTTTAGTATTTGAAAACAGAATTCAAGCTATATGAAAAATGAAAACTATATGGTATCAATTAAAAAACAGCCCCTGAAAAACTTTTAAAGCAGTGCCTGAAAAAAGCAGCGCCATGAAAACTATATGGTATCAATTATAAAGCAGCGCCTGAAAACCTATAAAGCAGCGCCTGCAGAACAATTATAAAGCAGCGCCTGAAAAACTACAAAGCAGTGCCTGAAAAACAGTTATGAAGCAGCGCCTGCTCGTTATTATTTCTAGCGAAAAAATTTAGAAAAGTTTTCACGAAAAGCTCCGACGAAAACAACCTTCACAACAATTAAACTTCATTTCTACAAAAAGTATTTCTATCTCCGCAAAAAAAAATTAAATCATAAAAAACGAACTATGTTCTTTCGGTAAAAAAAACAGCTAGAGTTGCATCTGGGATGCTAAAAAATTTTCCATAAAACAATTCATTAGCCCTAAAAAAACTCAAATAAAATCCCATTAAGATACAGAACTGAAACAACCAATAAATTCGATTGATGAAAAAATTGATTTTAAAATCATATCACATAAGTTTGAAACCGTTTCAATGCACAAAAGGCGAAAGAACTGCACTCGTTCATCTTGATCAAAAAATGAACGGATAATCAAGGGACTACCAAGAAACCAAAATCGTCTCGATATAAACTACTAAATGATTTTTCACGCTACCCGCACCGGAGTTCCATAATGAATGGATTTTATTGTCATTTTATAGACAGTCTCTATAGAAGGCAAAAAATTGATTAAACATGATTTATGTTGTTACTATTTTTCTGAGCAATATAACCTCTAAATCAGCGATTATAATCGACTTTAATCGATTCTCTTTGAGAAAAAACCAACGCGTTTTTGTTCACAACATAATCTATTTTTAATCCATTCTCATGGATTTTTACCCAGTCTTTCCGTCTCTAATTTTAGTTTCTGGATGTGAGCGGGTGTTACCTCTGATTACAAAATTTTATTTACTAATTTAGGTTTTTTTTTTCAATCTTAACTTCCAATTTTTCGAAAAAAAAAACAAATAATAGCCTGGCACTTTATAATTGCCAAAAAACAAGAAAAAACCGATCATTTTTATGTTGATATTCTAGTAGAAATGACTAATAATTTCATGAAAAAAATTGTATTAGTCTCGCCAGGATCCTGGGATTCTATCCTTGGGTCCTAATTAATCACCTCTGTTTTACCCGCGATCGGATGCTTGGACATTCTCGGAATCTTCATTTGAAATTATTGGTCGGGTCGGGCAGTCATTGTAGTTAATAGTTTGTGGCAAGCAAAAACACTCGTTAAAAGCTTCAGATTTGACTTGTTATTTACTGGGGCGCATTGAATTATATACCTTAAAATCTTTGAAAAAGCTTCTTTGTTTCAGAAAACCATTTACCATTTTCA